CATCCATCCATCCATCCATCCATCCATCCATCCAGAGGAAATCTGTTTGTTAAGCCACTTAACGCTCACCTATAAATCATTCATATCTATCCATCCTATGTTTACCAAAGTATTCTAGAGTTAAATGTGAAGCTAACTGTCTGATAGCTAAAGTTTGGTCTCAAATGGGCCCGAGCACAAAAGGAAATCTATAACAGAATGTCTGAAAAAGAAAAAAAGAGTCTAGGTGCAATGGTCCAGTCAAAATCCAGATCTCAACCCGACTGAAATGCTGTGGCAGAATCTCAAGAGAGCTGTGCATAAACAAATGCCTGAAAACATCAATGAAATGAAGCAATGTTTCAAAGAAGAATGGGCCAAAATTCTTCCCCACACAGCTTCTGCATTTTGGCTTAAAGAATGACATGATGTAATATGTTAAATTTATTTGTTGTTTTTCATAGTGAGGTTCTATTTAATTGTAATAATAATTGTAGAAACTGTTACATGATAAATAATAGTTAATCTATATGATGCACATTATCTTTAAAAACACTGATACGTTTGTGGATTTTGATTTAGACCAGTCCAAAGTTTCTCCAGGTAATAAAGCAGCAAACATGGCCATGTTAAATAGAGGTACAGATGAAATTCCCAATTTAGAATTGTTGTGCTTTTGAAATCAAATGCGTAATTTATTTAGAAAGTGCTCAGTGTTTACCCTTGACTGAATGGGGATACATTTAAAGCTTTTAAGGACATTCAGAGATTCACCATATTACCGCAAAAGTACCTCCTTATTACACAGGATATATTCATCATATCACATCATAGCACAATCTCTTTTACTTTACTGCTTTAACACAAATCAAACATTTATCCAAAGTTATTCGAAATATTCCAAAATTAAATCTGATAAACAGATGCCTCCGTAGATTCTGTTCTCTTTTAGAAACCAATGGAGTTCTAGTGTGAAAAAGGTATTGAGCCATAGATGAGGTACTGTCATTTTTCCCTATTAGGGAGAGAAAACAAGAGGCTGTCAAATATGTTAGCTTGCCAGAAAGCTACTTACTTACTTAGTGCTTGTTATTTTAAATGATGTCACTTGAATCCTTGTTTTTTCCTTAAAATGTAGCTGATCAAGAAAGCTGCACAGAAGCTGCTGATTGGAAATGCCTGTGAAAAGCTGACGAAGGAAATGCTTTAAGAAGAGGATTATCCCAAATGAAATCCTACCCTGTTCATTCATTACAGGGTGCCATATAAAGCCCATCAACAATTCTACAATCAAACTTTCCTGTATGAGTAACGTGTTTAAGACTGCATATCAGACCTTCGTGGAATATAGGCAGACAGCAGTCAGTATTGCACTGGCTTGTGTCATGTGTCATGGTTGTCTAAATGTAAAAAGGAAATTGTATATTTATCCTCTGTAAACAATGAAACTGCAGCCTCAGAGCACAGGAGGAATCACAGTGCAGACACCAAGGCTTACAGCTGCTAGTGTAGGTGATGATTTATGGGCTTCCTTCCTTCTTGTTTGTGCATCATTATGACTCTGAAGGGAAACACTGAGTATATTTGCACAACATTATTTATAGGGCACTGCTTAATCGTATGCATCTTTAAATGCACCAAGGCTTCACAATGTGTCAGCCTGCTGAGAAGTGCACGTAAAGAGGAGAAGCCACCAAACAGAGCAGTATCATTGCATTAGATAATTTACTGCGGTACTGCCACTAATCCCACAGGCGAGGGTCAAAGAAAAGGCACTTCCAGTTATGCAATATGAAATGTTACACAAAAGTACACAAAGCTAATATATAATATCCCTGCACACTAAATGTATCATTTCACTCATTATTAATCAGTGTAAGGTAACACTGATGTAGATAAATCCATTTCTTAAACCAGCTTTAGTTGTCTAGAATGAAGAATGATAAGACTTCATCTACTAAATTTGAAAGGTTTCACTCATTTTATGCAGCTATAGTTTTGTAATTAGCTTACTGCCACACATGCATATTATGTGTGGAGCATAATGGCTCATTAAGTAATACAGTGCTAATACTAATACTGTGTTGCAACAGACTGGTGATCTGTCCAGGGTGCACCCTGACTCTTGTCCTGTGGTAGCTGGGATATGTTCCTGTCCCCCATGACCCTGATAAGGATAAGTGGAAGAGAATGGATGGATGAATAGAAGTAATACAGCCATCTTGCCTATCCTCTTGCTCATGAGGAGAGTCCATATGAGTGCACAGTTTTAAAACGGTTACAAGCTTTAAAGTAAAAAACAAAAACAAAAAAACAAAACAAAAATCACTTACATCCTGCAGTACTCACTGGCAAAACAATAGCAATCTTGCACAGGCGATAATTTCTTGTTGATGCCAGAGGTCAGAGGAGAGCCACTCAAATAACTGCATCACAAAAGAGCATCTCTGACTAACATACTGAACAGAAGACCACAGTAGGTGCCAGTTCTGTCAGCTAAGAAAAGGAAACCAAGGCTCACAAAATTGGAAGAATAAAAAAAAAATGTTGTTTGGTCCTGATGAGTCTCAGTTCCAGCTTTGACATTCAAGTGGTTGGATCTAAATTTGGTGTAAATGACTTAAAATAATTAAAGCAGTCTTGTGGGTGATATACTGCCTAAGTGACTACTGTTGCCTAACACGTCCATCCTTTTAAGTGGACAGCGTACCCAACTTCAGATGCCTAGTTCCAACAGGAAAACACATGATGGCACAAGGCTAATTTTATCTTAAACTGGTTTCTTGAACATGACAGTGAGTTCAGTGCACTCAAATGGCCTCCACAGTCATCAGATCTCAATCCAATAGAGCACCTTTGGGATGTGGTTGAACCAGAGATTCATATCATCCATGTGAACCAAACTCTATGAGGAATGTTTCCAGCAACTAGCTGACACTCTACCAAGAAGGAAAAAAAAAAACGAAATAAATTTTAAAAAACAAAAAACGGATTTTAAAAAAGCTGATAATGAGGAACATTTTTGAGACGTGATTTCTGACGTCATCAATACGCTTTTATTGTGAAGGATTCTGCCTGCCTGGATCTGCTGCTGCTAGCGGAAGTGAAGCTTCTGCGAAGCACAACACAGCATTAACTGAAAAGAGAGGCTATGCACAATACACAGTGAGTACGGTTTATTCGATTATGTCAGAATTTTAAAAAGATCGCTTTGGCGTGTAAGAAATCAGCCTAGTCTCGTTTGTATCGCTGTACAACCTATCGTGTAACGGTGCAGCTAACGGTAGGTACCTTCGGCTGGGTCTCTAACGGCTCCATAGAAGTGAGGAAGTTAATTAAACGAGTGTTAAATTATATTTTAGCCTGATTTACTAGAACAGGGAACACTGCCTGCCTTAGTTAATTGGCACTTTGGCAAACGCACAGAATACTGAGCAGGGGAATAGTGGCTTGCTAACAAGACATTCAGTGTTTATGTTGTGTGTAATTGTCCCACTGAGTGTTTGAAACGTCTATTTCATTTACCACAACGAGTTTACTGCATGTTTTTTTGTTTTTCCAACCAAGTAACTCATCTGCCATTGTATGAACTCACAGTTTCTTTGGCTAACCGTGCAAATTCTTTCCTTTCCCCGTGTCCTCAGATTTGTAGCTGATTAGGGAGGTCAGTGATACCATGTGGAAGTCACATGAGCGACGAGGATGAGGCAGAAACAACAAGGGGGCAGCTTGAGGAGTGATCCGCTGCACAGTGACTGCAACAGGGAGGGTGTCTGCTGCTCGTAAAGGCCTTGCACAAGCAGCCCCCTGTGTCCCCTTATCGCTTAACATTTACAATGAACAGTACTACTCAGTCCCCTGCCACCATAGATGGGAATGTGGCTGTCAGCTATGTGCTGGTGCCATTTTTCCTCATAACCTTTGCTGGGATAATTGCAGCTGTGGTAAGTGGTTTGAACACATGGCATAGGATGATCTATGTCAAGTTGAGCCATTGTGTTATGAAGCAGTCCTACATCTTATTAACTTAAAAGTCAAGTGTGAATTGAGATCCAAGCGTACACACAGCAGATGTAACATCTTTCATTTTGTCCATTTCAGATAATGTATATTCGTAGGAAAAGGAGGTAGGATTAAAATTTATCCATCAACATCATTGAACAGTTTTTTTTTTTT